TACACAGACATAGATGCAGGCAAATCATTCATGTGAAAAAAAACATTTAAAAAATAATTCTAAAGTATAAAAGAATTGACTAGAGATGGTTGGTTATTTCTGTACTGAGGTTCTAATAACATGGACCACTACTAAAGGACAGGATGGTTACCTCTGTTTCGTCGACTATAAAATAATTTGGACAACATGGTTTCTAAGATCACTTGTAATTTTCATTTGATTTAGAAATGCTCTACCATGAGTGGAACAAAAGCACCAACTTGAGAAATGAATACTCCTGCATCATCTGTCTCTTTAAATATCCTAATAGCTGCTTTGAAGAATGTTAAGTACAGGAACACAAGAGGAGGGATGCCTGACATAGTTTCTCTAACTATCTTTATATATGCTTCCATTTTACTATCCAAATTGGATAATTACGCCAAAGTGGACCTATCAGCCAATAGTGATTCCCAGGCAGAAACCATGAGCAATGCCACACAACGAGAGGGATCCAAAACAGACAGACAGGACCTTCTTAACATCAAAGAGCAGAGGAATCCGACCCTTCACATTTGCTGGCAGGAGCAGCTGTGAAGAAAGATGAATTCCTTGCCAGGCGGGAGGAACCCCGGGCGTCCTGGAGCAGATCTGGAAAGGAGGGACCTGGGAAAAACTGCTTCTCAAGTACTTAGCAACTGGGAGAAATGAGTCACAACTTGGGCATAAACAAAGGGCCATATCTCCTTGTCACAGGCCAATGCCTCTGGATTTCAAAGGGAAATGATAGGTGCGTTGCCAACAACACTCCAAGTACTTTACTGTATACAGACTTGTCTCCTGTGACACCAGCTCATCGAAGGGAAGGCACCTCTGTAGATGACTCAGAGACAAAGAGGACCACTGACAATCTAGAAGCCACCCATCCAGAGAAGGAAAATAAGACACAGACTTCCAAGTCGTAAAAACAAGGGGCAAACCATGTAATATGGACTCAGCAAATGGATGCTCCCAGTATCATTATTATTGTTGCAATATGCCCTTGGAAGAAGTTCTTTAGAAAACCCTTATTTTGGGATGCTTTACATCTGCTTCTTATTCGTTTGATCAGTACGTGACTGAGTGCACTCGACAGCTAGAGCCATTGGGCTCCCTGTCTTTGCTCACATAGCTGTCACTATAGTGCTCCCCGCTCTTTTTCCGAACTCCTCCACCCCTCCAAGCCTGAATGATGATGATTATAAGTTCTCCAATGTTAATTGAGGCTTAAGATATTAAGCCAGCCAAATCAATAAAAGCTTGGTATAATTAAAGTTAAACACCTCTTTTTGTGCTTCAGAAAAGCCATAATGATTCTCTTGCTCTTTAGGAAGGGTTGGCTGAAGTCTATAGATTTTCAATAAGTTAAAATTTCCCGAGGGTTTTGTTTCTCAGAGGGCCAAAAAGAAAAAGAATAAAAAGAACTTCGAGAGTACTGTACTTGGCGGGGATTGTAAAGATAATTACCCACATTAGTCACTTTTTATCCATTTTCGTTGCTTTTTTTTCCTGAATAACTGGAAAAGGAAGCCAATATAACACTCTGTGATAATGGAACAGATCCCTTCTTGAAGTGTGAGTACACTTGAGGTAGAAATCCAATCGATACTGCAGTAACGACTTGGTAGATGTTCAAATGTGCCAAGCAAGCTAAGGAATGAGATGATACCTTACAAAGATACCATTTACTGGTACTCATAAACTTGGGCTTGGGTGCTCTTGAGTTGACATGGAGCCCTCTCAAGGGCTTGGTGATAGGATTCTGGGCATGCTGCCTATATAGAACATCCAACCCATGGAGACTGTCTGCTCTCAGAAGCAATCGGAAAGCAATTCCTTCAATGCCTAGAATGTCATTAGCTCCCCATGGAGAATGAGTTGGGGAGCATCAATGATGATACTTCATGATACATCTACCTGGTTCATAATTATGGTCTTCCTCCAATGTTTTTAGTGTTAGGCAAAATAGAAGTACTACAATGGCTAGATATTTGGCTTCATGAAACCTTCAAAGAAGCAGAGTTGTACCTATTTAAGCCCTCTCGCTACTCTTTTTCAACGTGCCTAGAGACCTCAAAAGTTAATTTTATGTGTTCACATGGCTTAGCTAAGGGATACTAAAATAGCTCATGAGACATTATTTCAGGGAATGTCTATGAGGCTGTTTCTGTCATCCCATCTGTTGAACGAACACAAGGATAGATCTACTCTTTCTGCTTCAGCAGGGGCATCTGTGTTTCCTGCCCATCAACTGCAGAGACCCTGGGTCTCAGACTCTTGGACTCACACCAGTAATTTCACCATCGGCCCCACCTCTATGGTCTGAACTTGGCCTGAGCCACATCACCAATTTTGTTTGCTCTCCAGTTTTGTAGACGGTAGATTGAGGGGCTTTACAGTCTCTTCACGCCACATATATGTGTACATGTGTCTATGTATTGACACACACATCCATACATGGATATGGATATATGTTCTGTTCTTCTGAAGGAGTCTGACACGGTAGCCTTAGATTCTGGTGTCTCCAAGACATCCAGAAGGAAGGAGATATGAGGGATGAAAGGTATTCTCTTTGGCTTTCTGTAAGCATAGCAAATGTTTGAAACATTTCCCCTGTGAGTAAAATAAATGATAGGACTGGACTTTTTTCTGAAGTGCATTGTGGGTTCTTCTGGGGCCCTGCTAATATTATTGAGTGATTGTCCTGTCTGGCTATTCCTATTTTCTCCAGTCTCTAATAATCTGTGACTCCACCCTTGAAGTAGTGCTACTGAATACAGATGCAAAATACCGAGACAGTCCAAATCCAACAAGAGGACTCGCCCACAGCAAGCTTGGTGCTCTTGCTGTCACTTTCTAAATGTTGTCCCCCTTCTACTGTCAAGGTTGGTTCAGGCTGCTAGCACAAAGGATGAGGTAACAGACACATTTATTTTCTCAGAGTTCTAGAGTCTGGGCAGGGTCTGGGATCAAGATCTTAGTCTGTTTTCAAGCTTGAAGACAGGCCAACAACTTATTATATACACTCATGGTGGGAAAAAGGGTAGAAACAGGAGAAGAGATGGGGAATGAATGAGAACATCCGTTTTTATATAAGAACGCTAATCCCATGTGAGGAACGTCTTTAATCTAACTGTATCTCAAAGGCCTCATCCTCAAATATCATCCTGCGAAATTTCAGTACCCGGACTTGAAGAGTCAGTCCACATCACTCACCCTCTTCCTTACAGTAAATGCTAGAAAAAGAAAGAAGATTAAGCTTAGCTTTTTGTTTGTTTTGCTTTGTTTATTTGTTTTCAAAACAGGGTCTCACTATGTAGCTCTGCTGTCCTGGAACTCACAAGGCAGACCAAGTTGGCTGCGAACTCACAGAGATCCACCTGCCTCTGCCTCCCAAGTGCTGGGATTAAAGACATGTGCCACACCGAGGATATAATCTTCATATAAAATATAGTGTAATGGTTTTCCCAGGGGAAGAAGTGACTGAAGAGGGTGTCCTGGGGTACTGGTAATGCTTACTTCTTGACTTGGGTGACCCTTTAATGTTTACTTACTAATTCTTTAAAGCATTACTTATGTTTTATAAATTTTTGTGTGTCATGATTAAAGGCATTTAAAATTTAAATGGCTATCAAAAGTTAATGGACTTGGCTGGAGACAGAAGTAACAAAGTGGAAATAAAGAGATGAAGTTGAAATAAAGAGATGACGCTGCTCTAACCCTCACCAAGTGGCATTGGTGACTTGCTGGTTAACTTACAGTGTATTTGCAGGATTGAGTTCTTAGGGTGGTTTAGCCATAGGTGGATTGGGACAGAAGCTAGTAGTGCATAACATGGGCAAATTCAAAATGATTCTTAGGCTTCCAGGCTGACCAGATGAGTTAGAGACTGATAACAGTTGACAATACAGAGACGTGACACATGGTGATACAGCCCTGTAATCCCAGCACTAGAGAGGCTGAGGCAGGAAGACTGTGAATTCTAGGTTAGCCTTAGATGCATACTAGTGAGATCGTGTAAAAAAAATAAAAATTAAAACTTGGAGTTGGAGAGACAGCTCATGGGTTAAAGGGTACTTGCTGCCCTTCCAGTGGCCCCGAGTTCGGTTCCTAACACTCTTATGTCAGGTGGTTCACATATGCCTATAACTCCAGCTCCAGGGGGACTGACACTCTCTTCTGGCCTACAAACACACACACACACACACACACACACACACACACACACACACACACACACACACAGCTATTTAAAAGTTCCTCAAAAGTTACAAACTAATAATTAAGATGAAAGAGTAGATCTGAGGAGGAAGAAAACGTCAGCAGATTTAGTAAATTTGTGTTGCCTACACAGGTGGAGGTGTTGCTGAGGCCATCGGACACAAAGTTCAGAGATTAAAGAGATCAATCAAGCCTGAAATAATTTTTTCACAGCATAGACATTTATTAGATTATAAATGCAATATTATTGAAAACATACTGATCCTGCAATAATGGATTTCTTATTAGGTCTTAGGATGTCAATTTCTCATCTCATTTTTTCTCATTTCCATGGAGAATGTAAACATAACTGGGAACCTGTGATTTTTTTTTTTAACCTGTAGTCCTGCTTCTGTGACTGGAGCTACACGCCATTGACTGCGGGTTTACATCAAATATTTACTTTCTCATTGCTCTAGAAGCCTAAAAATCAAGTTTTCATTTTCGTTTTTAGGTTCTTGGTGTTGTGTTTGCTTTAGACAAAATCTACTGTAGTCCCAAATTACAATTGTCCTGCCTCACTTTCCTAGTATTGAAATTATAGCCAAGTGTCACGGCACCTGGCTACATTAGAAATCTAGGGTCAGTGTGACAGCATTGTCAGATTCTGGTGAGGACCTTGGTCCTGGCTTACAGAAGATCATCTTCTCCTGTGTGTGTTCACAGGATATGGCAAAGATGGCAAGAGGGTGGGGGAGGCAGACAGGGGGAGCCCCTCTCAAGGGTCTTCCCCTCAGGGCACTGGTCTCACACTAGGCCCCACCCTCATGACCTCATCTCTTTCCTGTGAGCTCACAAATAGTAGGACTCCAGAGGCGGTGTTCACAAGTCTTAGCTTGACTGGAGAGTCAAGCTAAGGGAGCAATGGAAGAGGGAGGGCTATGCAGGCCCAGACTGAGCGTCCTGATAAGTACTATCTAACAACCTTTGGGACCTACAACTGTGACTACCTGCTCAGAGAACCTGCTTCCTGAGGCTGGGTCAGCTGTTCCGTGAAATCCTGGGCTCACAAGGAACAAGGGTCAGTTAGGGATGTCAGTGTTTATACCGCCTAGCCAATGAGTCCTCCCTCCCTGCAAGCAGTATATCAAAGGAGCATGTGGAGAACACAAGCGCTCTTGGTCCAGCTTGCTGCTCTGAATCTCCTGGCAGGCACCGTGGCCAAGCTAGTGAGTGTCTGAGGTGTTACATGTCCAGGTTGTCATCACTGAACCTCAGGTGAGTTTCCTGTTCAGCAAATCACCTAGACAGGAATCCTCACACTAATCATCATGCTGGGCTCCAGCAGAACGATAGAAAGGATTACTTGGAAAGAGCAAATGTAATTAGTACAGCCAGAGCCACAGACCTTGACCACTGTGGACTCCCCGCCTCCCCCCCGCCCCCCAGCCCCGGCCCGTCAGTAAGCTTATTTCCTCTATTATCACCTCTGTGCCAGTGTCTCTGCCAATACCCCCTTGTTAGCCTCCCTCCCCTGTTGCCTATTTTATATTTGACCAACAGCTGCCTGTCGGTATGGTCTCTATGAGTTGCCCCAACAACAGACCACATTGTCCTGAAGTAGCTGGGCTACAAATGCTTCTTGCAAAGACCTTATCTATAAACAAGACGAGGGCTCTACATCTGAATTTTAGGGTGCACAATGCGTTTAGCCTTACAGGTCATCGTCTGACGTTCTATCCTGACGTTTCATAGAGACCATACCCACAGGCAGCTCTTAAATTACATAAGGTGTGTCTTCTGAGGAACATAATGTGTTCCTCTTCTGTTATGAATATTTACTTATATTCTTCTTTGTTTTCTTCCTTCTCTTATTACTGTGCCCTCTAGAAAGCATGTACTAAGGTACCCAAACTCGCTGCTGATCAGGACAACCATGGATATTCAGAGAAATCCTATCTCAAAAACCCAAAACCAAACAAACCATGTGATGAAATCACCCTCAAACCAAAAAGCATAAGATGTTTATTTTTTCATTTTTATCTGTAGGTCAGTTGGGGGTGGGCCCTGTAGTTAGCAAACTGGCTTATGTCTGCCCCATAAGTCTCTCGATTTTCTCGGGTGAACATACTAACCGGAGCATGTTTTCTTTATTACATGATAAAATGTCAGAGAGCAACTAGAAACACAGGATGCATCTAGGTCCAGACTCAGAACTGGCACTGACCAGGTAAAAGCCCACCAACAGAAAACCATGTCGTTGAGCCTGAAGTCAAAGGGCTAGTGACCATACTTATCTCTAGAGGGCAAAGTTGTGAGATCATGGGGAAATAGCAGTGATACAAAGACTGATAAAGAACCAAGGTCAATAATTAATGCTGCTATAGTCCTTGGATCATTTTCTTCACTGGGTTTCCTGAATATCATACTCTACTATCTTAATCTATATTCTGCTGGCTGCTCCTTCCCAGTAGTGGACTAGAATGTCTTAAGGTCAGACTTTGGGTGTCTTCTCTAGCTATATAGCCATTTAGTTTGTGATCTTACCAAACTTATGGTTTAGAAGCTTTCTATTTGCTGATGACTCTGAAGTTTAGGTCCTTACTCTGGTCTGTTTCTTGATCTCCAGGCCCTTATATGCAGCTATGCTTGAGTGTCTAGTGCCTATTTCAAACTTGGAAGGTTCAAACACAAATTCTTGATACCTCTTTGAAATTATTCTCTACCTAAGAAAATGATAATTCTTTCTACCCAGTTGCTTAGGCTAACCGTTAATTTCACACTTGATTCTTCTCCTTTATATATTTTTAAAATGTTTGTGTGTGTGTGTGTGTGTGTGTGTGTGTGTGTGTGTGTGTATGATGCATCTGTGTGACTACCATGACACATGTGAACATCAAAGGACAACTTCGTGGAGTTGAAGGAAATACTATAGAAAAGAGCTGGTCCTCACTTCAAACACAGACACTGGTTTCTACTCCCAACTTTTGAGTAAAGGTATTTTAGTTACAGAATGACCAAGGATAAGGTTAAAGAACTCAGACATCAGCCACGTGGTGGTGGTGCATGCCTTTAATCCTAGCACTCGGGAGGCAGAGGCAGATGAATCTCTGTGAGTTCCAGGCTAGTCTAGTCTGCAAAGTGAGTTCCAGGACAATCAAGGCTACACAGAGAAATCCTGTCTCAGAGAACTTAGACATCAGAGCCAATATACTTGGCTCAAACTGGCCAAGTTTCTAAGTCTCTCAAACTGCATACTTTCTAAGCAGTGAAACTTGAGTCTGAGGCTTGCAGCTGTTTTGTTTTTCTCTAGAATGTTGGCCCTTAAACCCTAACCCTATACTGCAGTCACATTGTAAGACTCACACTTACTTCCAGGATGAGATGTTCTCTTTCTTTTGTAATGGATACTCAAAGGCAGATATTGGGGTTCAAGCTGAAGATCAGAAAAGAAAAGCAGCCAAATGACTGGAGAGCTCTTCTATGAAATCTTCAGACTGAAAGAGCAAGTTCCTGCCTCAACCCATTTTATATTCCTCTCTAGCGCTGGAATTAAAGGTGTGCACCACCACTGTCCAACCTCTATGGTTAACTTATGTGGCTGCTGGGATTAAAGGTGTGTGCCACCACTGCCTGTACACTGACTAGTGTAGCTGTTTTGCATTCTGGTCTTCAGGCAAGCTTTATTTATTGAAATACAAATAAAATATCACTATGTTCCCCCCTTTTGTCTAAAGCAAAAAGAAGGCTATAACTAATATAAGAAAAATTACATATATTAAGTACAATAAGTATATATAATATACATACGCAATAAATAAATCAACAACGTCTAGTCCATTTGCATTTGACAAATTCAGAGAAAATATTTATCTATCCTATCTTGGTGAGTCCAAAGTCTTGTACCTAATTTACTTTCTATCAAAACTTGCTTTCTGTGTGAGGTAAACAAGGACAACTATAACTATATCTACTCTTCAACTCCCTCAGAAACCCAAGAAGGAAATAATATTAACTGAGTCAACAAGAAGTGCAAGCAGGTGACTGCAGAAAAATGTTATAAATGACAGAAGCATCTGGCTGCCTGGACAGTCACCCAAGGGTCCTCTGTAATGCTGGGGCATCCGTCTTCGACCTATGGGCCTAGCATATCTGACAGACTTTTCTGTGAAGCAGGATATTCTGAAGGGCTGCCCATCCTTGTCTTGACAATGTTTGGCAGTCACTTCCTTTTGTGTCCTGCTTGTCCAATTAGGACAGCATACTGTCAGCAGTCAAGGCAAAGACATTCTTTTACCCAGTGTCTTACTTTTGCCACAAAGGAAGTAAACTCCATGTGGAGTTTCTTCAATGCCCATTATCTTCTCTGAAGTAGGTTGGTGCCACCTGCCAGGAGCAGACATGTCTCACTGTCATAAAAAAAAAAAGAACCCATGTTATTAAAACATCTTAAGTGCCATATTCTGTAGATCTCTGAAGTGTTTGAAGATGACTTGACTTGTCTGTCTAAAATATATCTTTGTTTGACCTTGAAAACAAACTACAGGTTTGACTACAAGGTCAGTTATAATACATGATCAGCTACTAACCTGCATCTTCTTATCTGAAACAGTTGGCAATAATAATTTTCAAGGACTAGAAATTTGCATTACATTGTTAAATGAATTGTATAGTTACAATATCTTGAACGAGAGTAGAAATGTATGTACAGTATGTTCTAACAAAACTAATCTCAAATTTATATCAATATACAAAATTTTTATTCAATATAAAAACTCCAATTCAATAAAACATTTGAAACTAGCAGTTGTTTTTTAAAAGTCAAGTCAATAATCCACCTTTTTATCTTATCTATATCCTCCCTTTCTTCTTTTCAGAATAGATTCAATAATGTACCCTTTTATCCTATCCTGGCCAGCTTAGTCTATTTGGCAAGTTCCACGTGGTAAGATCCTGTCTTGCAATTAAAGACTAGATGACTGGCACCTGGGGAATGACACCTGCAGTTCTACTCTGGTCTCCACACATATGTGCACATCCATGCACATGTATCCCCCAAAACTGTAGGGTAGCAAATGCATTAATCCTAAATGCATCAAGCGTCCCTAATATCTAAAAAGTTATTTTATAAAGCAACTTCAAATCTGCTATGTCAACTTTTAATTACTGTCATTTTCTCATTTTCATGAGAAGTTGCTTTGTGTTTTTGACAAACCCTCATCTGGTACAGTTCATTCAGTAATATGGCTGCCATGGTGACTGTTATCCCCCTTTGTCGTTATGACTCATTTAGATTTCTGATTGGAACTTTAGCTAAGAGAATGTAACACTTTTATAGGGAAATCTGGGCCAATAGCACCTTGAGCATTTCTGATGTAAGAATGACATATTTCTCTAAGACTAAGGTGAGAAAATGACATTGCTTTAATTAAGTTATAGTTCTGTCTTGTGCTAATGGATTTGCCAGAGAAGCATTATACAGGACACCAAAGATTAACTGGACTTAATAGATCTGAAATACTACTAATGAACTCGCATCTGGAAAAGACCATTTGGAAATGCATGAATAGAATAAGCAAACCAAGTTTGACTGAGTCTGAAATATGGAACCCATGCCCACTTAAGATGATGTAACCTTCAAAGAGAGTTCGTGGAAATCCTGTGGAGAAAACCCAAATATCATGACACATACAAGAAACAGAGGTTTTTGTTTGTTTGTTTCCAGTTAGCAGATTTTTCCTAAAACTCTGCTTCTGTCAGCAATATGACCTAGGAGAGGGCTGTATGCTTATATTTTTGTCGGGTGGACATGATTTTTGTGTGAGCATTTTTAAAAATGGTAAGCTGGTACTTTATTGTGATTCTCAGTTTTTGAAGATTGGAGGGACTTAGAAGAATCCTGAATCAATCAAATGAATAAATCACTCTTTTTAAAAGAATTCTGTTACATACTAAATGCTAGACATTTATTCCCAATTTTCATCTTCGTCATAAAAGAAGTTGAAAGAAGAAAGTTTATAATAGTGGCTGTACGTCCTGTTAATTTCATGTGCGCCACATAAGTTAACAGCTAACATTCAAGAAATACTTATAGAGTTTTAATCCTCCATGGCAAGGCTCCAGCAAAGTCAGGGTCTTTTTCACTTGTTTTTCGAGACAGGTTTTCTCTGTTTTAACAACCCCAACTGTTTTAGAACTCGCTCTGTAGACTAGGCTGGCCTTGAACTCACAGAGATCTGCCTGCCTCTGACTCCCGAGTGCTGGGATTAAAGGCATGTGCCACCACTGCCCGACCATAGCCAGGTTCTTAGACTGAAATGTATCTACCAAGGCTAACTGACTAATAATTGTTAGGGATGCAATTCTTCTGTTTATTTGACTCTAGGTTTTACTTTCTCCAGCACAGTGTATCCCTCTGGTATCCCTCATGGATCTGTGTATAACCGCAGATTAGGTAGTGATAGCTGCCCTTTCAAGGCTAGAGCTCAACATTAGTCCTTCTGAGCCCATACACTTTATAAATACTTAATGTTAAGCACCTTTACTACTCCCCAGTGAGGATGAAAAGAGCTATTTCCAATTGACTGAATGCATTTTCAGAATATATTACGATCAGTTTCAGGCAATTCAGTCTTTTTATTCTATCCAGCAGAGATATTCTTATTTATTTTGTTCTGATAAACAGACAAAATAGATGCATTTTAAAATAGTTTGACCATTACTTCTTTCTGAAATATATGAGTAAGCAGCCATCGGGGGACAGATAAGACCATCTTTATGCTTCCCTTTCAGAGAACACTTAAGGAGAAGAAAAATAGATACCTGACGCATTGTGGCGATCCACCTCCACTCCCAAGCGCTAGCCTCTCCAGCACATTAAGAAGACTCAAGAGAACAAGGCTGACTTCACATTCTGCTCTATTGTTATCATAAGAATTTTCCAAGTTTTGATGATGAAAAGGGAACTTATTCTGCTGGTGTTGGTGACTATCATAACAAATAGAGTTCCATCTTTTGCTCTGTTTTCTTTATGAGAAATAAACACAAAACCCTGGGTAACTGGGCCTTGATGTATCTCCAGATTTTTAGTAATCAATCCATAATGATGCCTGTTGCAGAACATTCAAAGAGTGATTTAATTACCAATTCTTGCTTTCAAATAGCACTGAAACCAGTGGACATACCTTTTTACAAGTTGGATTATGGATTTCACTGTTCAGAAATGCTTTGGGTACAATATTATTTGTGGAGGAGGTTGACTACATTTTTTGACTCCTGGATAAGAAATTTAAGGCAGGGTAGTAATAACTACATTCATAGTCAAATACATTTTCTGGATTTATTGTAAAGTTTTGTCTGTTGACATTTTTGGTTAAGGTACCTGAATATATTCCTCAAAATGTATAAAGATTTATAAATTAGATTGTCATATATAATACCATTTGTGCATAGAAAAAGAGTCAAAACTAGGGGAACATACGCTGTGGCCTGATTTTAGTTTTACTGTGTTCTCTACTATAGCCTTACCCTTTGTCAAATGTCACTGTGGAAAAGGGCACACATGTGTAAGACATAAAGCTAATGTTAGACTTATAACCTATAGTCCTAGATTCAATGAAAACCAAATGCCACTCATGTTCCCAATCTTACTGTATTTAGTTGATATGCCAAAATCCACCCATTCATTACAACGGTAATATATTTAATAATGAACACTTGAAGCAACCATTGACCTAATAGTCTACTTGATCCATCTTGGTTTTTTGTTTTGTTTTGTTTTGTTTTTTGCCTACTACTCTAGATCTGTGGTGGATGGTGGAAGCCTGTGGGTCGTTCTGCGGCGGTGGCCGGGAATCGAACTCAGGTCCTCGGGCAGAGCGGTTGGGCGCTCTACCCCCTGAGCCGTCTCTCCGCCTGGTCCATCTTGCTTTTTCTTTGGAAAGACTCTTCACGTATCCACTCTGTTAGAATAAAGCTACTAGTGTGGATTCCGACAAGGCCTATTTCACTGCTTAACAATCGGTGTGAAATGGAGACCTCACTGCAATGATCTCATTCACAGGGACATCTCTTGATATCACACAGAATCTATAGTTAGAGGAAAGATAGAGAAAATGGCATGCTAATGGAGCACTCTAGACAGAAATTAAGTTTTTAATTTTCGTTTAGGAGGGGAGCCGTGGAGAGGGGAGGAGGGGGAAAATAGACTTAATAAAGAAAAACATTTTCACAAATAGTTAAAATTAAGATGGAAAACAAAAGTACAAAGACAAAATAAGAAAAAAATCTTAATTAACATTTAATCAAATTTGTTGGTCTTGCAAAAGGGAAACTGTCAGAATGTTTGCTTAATTTAAGCAGCTTGCTCAAATGTCCACAGCCAGGAAGTGGCAGAGCTTGAACTTCAGTCGTGGCTATCTGAATCACCATTTAAGAGGAGGGGCTGAAATGGAAACTTTTATAATTTAATAATAAAAAAAAAGAAATGGGAATTAAAAAAAAATAAAAATAAAAATGGGGTCTAGCAAAGTCACACAGAGAGAGAAAACTTTAACAGGGAAAACTCTTGCCAGACTATCAGCGGTTGTGCAGCCCGATGGCCACATATGCCACATACGCCAACAAGCAGAGACAGGATGACTCTTTGAACTGCTTTCTCCAGAGGGCCTGTAATCTGAGAAGCCAGGATTAACATTTTAGAGAGCTGCTGTCATCTCCCAGCTAGCAAAGGGAACAAAGGATGCCAGTCATTCCAGAGTTTGTCCTTGTCTCTCTGGTCAGCGGGGACGTCCTAGTATCTGAGAGTCCTGTCTGGTCAGCTTTTCTCGCGCCTTGCGCCCCTCCCTCCTTATTCTCTGTCTAGTTAGGTCTGTTAAGTTTTCATACTCCCAAAGCAACTGAGCCTTGCCTTACTCCCAAGGCACAAATCGAGCTAGTTCTAACGGTGTGTAAGTGTATGGTATTTACACTTTCTACAGTATTAAGCACAAATGCAACCTTATAGAATATAAAAAGTGTCCTTATCTGTCCCGCCTGTCCTGTATTAGAGAGATCAAAGAGATAACAGGGGTGTAAGGCGATCCAATGCTGCGGTTTAATAAATTCCCAGAGTGCTATTTATAGTTATGGTCTCTTCAGAGCCTTTTGCATGCATTAGCTCACTTAATCCCTGCAAACAGTTTTGTGAGGTGGACACTATTAGGACTATTACTAATTGTTAATACCACAACGAGGACATTGGATAGATGTTTGCACCAAGTTACACTTCAATAGCTGCTTCTGAAGCCGGACAGGACGGACTGACAGACAACTTGTCCTCAGGTGGGACAGCCAAGGCAATCCGCAGAAAGTGAAGCCAGGAGGAAGTTTCTCCGACAGGCAAGTGGCTAGTCACAGCATTCAAATCTGCCCAGCCAGCCCGCCAGGGCGTCACAAAAGCCCGCCTCTCCACTACAAAGCCACGCCCCCAGGCTGTCTGGTCCCTGAACTCCCAATACTTCCCCTCATCTCTCGAACTCCACCCTCTCCAGCAAGAATCATTTCCGGTATGTTGGGTTATGATTGGTCCAAAAACCGGAAGTGAGGGCGGGCGGTGGCGCCGTTGCCGCAGTGACAGGACCGGGGGAGTGGGAAGATGGCGGCGTCGCGTCGCTCTCAGCATCATCACCACCATCATCAACAACAGCTCCAGCCCGCCCCAGGGGCTTCGGCGCCGCCACCGCCACCTCCCCCGCCGCTCAGCCCCGGCCTGGCCCC